AATGTTCTCTCTCTGTCACTTATCGTTTTTAAGACGGAATTTGATTTATGTAGAACGAGTATACAGTTTCTTGCGTTGCCACTCAGGGAAGTAAAAAAATATCTCCTCAGATCGAAGCAACTGTATTTTTGGATCACATCTGATTAAAGAAAAATTTGCCTTGTGGCATAATTTGTACGGTACTGGGAACCTGATTACACGTGTACCATATTTTAAAAGTATATATCGATATAATTATTGTGCTGTTAAATTTGTCATACAACCATATACAGTTTGTAAAGAATACAAAATTTTTCAAGGATTTTGGCCAAAAATAGCAGATTTCAATAATGTTTAATTAGTTAACCGCCTCATAAAAGTTCCAACATGTTTTTACCAACCCTCCACTGCTCCTTCATTCGGATGTGCCGGCATAAGCGTGACCATACTCTCATGCAAGTACATTTCTAACTTGAAAAACAAAAAGGGTTTTAGGACGAATGCGGTCACCTTTATGACAAGGATCTGTTATGCAAATAGAATTTCAGTTTGCTACTTTGATTTTATAACGCAAATGAAAATACTATCTATATAGTGCTGACGACATAGCATAAAGATGCCGATACCTTTATAAAGGTTGCTCTACATAAGACTGCCGGGCTTCAACTTATGAAGGTTTCTATCTTTTCAAACAGAATCAGAGTTGCAGAATATTACCAGCATTTTTATGCCAGGACACCGTTATGAAAGCATCCCTTTAATTGCACCAAGAAAATTAATCCAGGAAGCACAGGACCATAAGATATGCCCTTTTATAGTCCAAAGGACACGACTTGAATTTGAAATGCTATTATGATAATTTTTCAAAAGTATGCAGCATTTTCAATGAAGGCTTTTATTTTGAGCATCCAATAGATACTTTTATTCTGTAGACGTATTTGAACTTACTGTTAGGCTTAATTCAAATATGCATTTTAAAAGATGCTGCTAATCAAAAAGGTAATCTTTGTCAACCACCCACGCTTCTAAAACTAAATTTTCGCTGCAATATCATTGAACTGACGCATCTGAAATGCGCAATGCTATGCTTCTGAAATACTTAAGACGCGTAGCATTACTCACAGCGAAGCATTAGCCTATGATTTCGGAAGATTTAAGAGTTACCTGTTTGAAAATTGTTGCCGTCTTCTCAGTAATCTACTTGGTATTATATGTTTATGATAGGTATGCTTATGTGTTCCAAGAGCAAGTAAATTTAGATTCACCAACTTCTTTTCTTAATGCGAATCTGAGTATTTTCTGCCTCCTTCCGTGACAGTTTCGAGGATTTGATAGTTGCACCGCTTCCGAGTACAGTATTTTTTGAGACATCCACCATTATTTTGTGCAAGAATTACCCTCACGACAAGTGGTTGCTAAAAGTGTCTTGGACGTAAATTGGAAGCTTAATGTGATTAAAAAAAACAGAGGCGGGGCAGATTGGGACTTGACATCTTTTGAAACATCTGCCTTGCATGTACGAAGAACAGGTTTTCCAACATTTTTCCCCCCTTCCTAAAAACATTTTCAGCTTTTAACAGGAAAATCTTTTTCGACAATGGGGCAATTTTCTGCACCAGGTCTCAAAATTGGTGAGCAGTTTGCATACGTAGAAGATGCGAAAAGGGAGAAGATAAAATAGGAAATAATTGCAGCTCTATTTTAAATGTTGCAGGAAATGGGATGGAGCAGTTCATGTGTCCCTTTTTACACCCATTCCCTTGGTAGTAAAGACAGAGATGTCATGGAAATCAGCATTTCAGATAGTTCTTTCATTGATTACTTTTCCTAGTGAACAGCAATACGCCTAAAAGCTTGCTGATATTATTTTTGTTTTTTTTATTTTGGTGTGGTTTTTGCGGCCGTTACTTTATCTTGCCTTTGTCGTATTTTGTTTCAAGCCTGGAATAGTAGACCATAACGAAAGTATACGATGGTCTGAAAACCTCCAGTTTCTTCAATGGAAGGCTCTAGTACTCTTTGGGCAAAATTGAGAATTTAATTACAACTGAATTATTCATTGATACTTCATACTGATCCTAAAGAAACTTCGCGGCAGTTATTGATACGAGTTACTAATCTGCCGAACGTACAGTTTATTCAATATTCATGTGTTTTATTTAAAAAATGCTAAATTTGATGTTCCTAACAAATGCAAAAAGAATACAGCGGAATGCATTCAAACGAAAAAGTGTGAAAGGGAAGTATTTATAATGCACTGGAGTGTATTTCTTGACATGCATGAAAAATTCTGATTATTGACCCAAGACATATTTATAATATTTCTGTTTATTTATTATTATGATATATGTTATTGCATTGTTTTCCACACTTAGAGAGCTGTAGAAAAAAATATTTGATTAGATATGTTAGACAGATAATATTTGATTAAAAAATTACTTAAAATTTCTATAAATTCCGTTAATGTAATTTCAGTTCTTTACTTTCCCATTCTTGCTCAAAGTTTTTTCATTTTATCTCAAAAAAAATTTGCTTCAGAGATACAAAATATGGAAGAGAGTTTATATTCGGAATTCAGTGAAAAATGTTCGAAAATTTATCAAATATCACCAGCATTGCTTAGCTGCTAAGTTTTCCGATTTTACCGAGAGACAAGTTCTTTTATCGCATCTCTTGCTCCACTAACGAATATCTCGGTTTTTAATTTTTAGCCTTTACCGAGCAATGTATTTTGCAGTAATCTGAATGATTTTTTTTTTTTTTTTTTTTTTTTTTTTTTTTTTTTTTTTTTTAAATAAATGAAACTTCGTAGTTAAACGAATGAGATTCGTGCAATTTAAGTTTGCGTTGTGCAATTAAGTTTAAGTTGCGTTGCACAATTTGTGCAATTTAAGTTTAACTGTAGCAATTTTTAGCATACTTTTTCTTATTAAATTTTATTTAATCTGAATAGTCTTCATCTACTATGGACTGCTATCTATTATATAATTTTATATGAAGGTTTAACCAATGTTTAAATAGCTAATATTTTGTTTCTAATTTTTTTACATCAATATACTGTTCACCCACACAGTGGTTATGTATATTAAGTATTAATTTTATTGTCACTATGTTTAAAAGCATAACGAAAATTTCACGTCACTGCAAATACTGTCTGCGCAAACAGTTCGCATTGGCGTGCTTATTCCTATTGTGTCAAACGATTTTTGGCATTTGGAAGAAAGAGACTTGCTTTAGAATGCTGTATTGTAAAATTCGTAAAAAAATATCATTATCATTAAGTAAAAGATATCTGAAGTGGAACTATCACGCTACCAGATTAAAACCATCTTTTACTTCTAATTCTATTGCAAAAAGTCAGCCACATAATGTCACCAAATCACATGCTTAACTCGAGAAAAATCCAAATGCTATTAATTTTCCAAAGATTATGAACATAATATATGAAATCAGTTGAAAAAGTCGGTTTGACTCATGTTTCTTCCAAGTATCGTATATTAGGTTGATGAAATATTTTGCTGTAGTTTGAAATATATTTTCATTTACTGGACCACATATTCATTTCCATGTACTTTACAACATTTTATTTATTTTGTATTTAACAGAGCCCGATTTACAAAATGGAGGCTAAAATTTTATGAAAATCCCATCTCCATTTTCTGAATGCATTAAATGTCCTTACATTCAAAATACTCAATTAGGTAGGACGATTCGAGCTATGCATATAAAAGTTCCAAACATTGTGAAATTTCAAAAATGGACGTTAATGGCAAAATGGGTCAAACAGGGATACTACTATACTCTCGATTTAAACGGGAGGACTCCTAAAAGAAAAAGCTCTGCTGGAAGCGAAGTCTCGACCTATGGAAACCATGTCCCAGCCATGCGGGATATTTTGAAACTTCGCCGAAATGTACAGTCTGCTGTTCTGTACCGCGTAGAGATCACCCAATCAGAGGAAAGTTCTGCTTCTGAAGGATAACGCGATTCCAATCTGAGCGATAGTCCATTACTATTTGGAGTTCAAGTCCTTGTAGTAAAGAGGTTATTACATCTACGTCCCTTGCTAGATGACGTGGGAATCCGTTTGTCCTCAGTTCGAACAAAATCAGTGAAGTCAGGTATAAAATCCCGCAGTCGCCAACAAGTAGTGTAAGAAAGATATCATTCTAATTCAAAAGCTAACAGTATAAACTGAAAGAGAAATTTCAAGGGATGTTGTTCCAAGTATCCTTGTAGTAACATAAGCGTGTAATACATTGAATCGATTTGCCATTAATATACATTTTGATTGGTTGGTTTACTTGGTTATGACAACACACACACGGGCTATGTGCTTAAGGGAAGTGATTTCTTATATTTCTTATTTCTTATTCACCGTGGAAGACTTTCTTATAGAAACTGGCGCTTACACACTTTAGGCATGGGAAAAACCACGAAAACGCCCATGCAGCCAGCTCGTTTTACATGATTGGAAAGCCGAATTACCAGTATTCATCGACTTTTACCGCTCGGCAGCTAGTGGTCCCTGGTATCCACTCTGTGAATTATTTAAAAAAATTGTGGCACTTTCCTCAATTCTTTAAAATCTGGGTTGAGCAACTTAATAGATAAATGTGTACCCAATTTAAATGCTATTAGAAGATCTGGACCCCCGGGATGCATGCCCCATTTCAACATGATTATTAATTGCTTAAGATACCGTATTTACTCGCTTAATAGTCGCACCCCCGTTTTGAAGCAGAAAAAGTCGCCAAAAGAGTACAATATTGTGCAGTAGATTTCCCTGCGTAATAGTCGCACCTAGACTTTCACAATGAAAAATTGAAAAAAAGTGCGAATATTACGCGAGTAAATACGGTAGAAGGACTTCGCTTTCTGTTTTCATGTGCGATCCGTCAATTCTCAGTAATGTTATAAGTACCGACAGCGTTAAAAACAAAATTATGAATGAACTCAAATGTTATGAATGAGTGACTATTCAGTGTGTAATATTTATTTTTCTTTTCGCCTCGCTCCAGGGCCAAGTCTAAAAACGGGGGCCGTTCGCTGCGTGAGAAGTTGGATAAGATCGGCCTCAACCTGCCCGCGGGCAGACGGAAAGCTGCCAATGTCACTCTTCTCACATCCCTTGTTGAAGGTAAGAAACTTTCTCTCATTTCCTCACCTTTCTGAGTATAAAACTTGTTCTCATTTTTTGGCGCCATTTTTCATTTAAAAGGAAACACGACAAAAAATTTGCTCCAAATAAAAGAAAATGACGGTGACAGAAGTAGGCTGAACTGAACAAGTTATAGATAGAAAAAAAAATTTATTAAAAAAATTCGAATAAAACAATTTTTTTTTTATTTAAGAATGCACGTGAAAGCTCAAAAAGACTGCTTTGCAAAGTGTTTTTTGAATCAAGATAGGAATTTGAGACGACATACTATACATTAGGGCTTAGTTTTTTAAAATTAAATGCAGTGGATACCTATAGAACGCCGTTAGGAAAGGCGAATAGCAAAGAAATGGAATAATAACAACTAAAATGATAAGTAGCTGCAAAAGGGTAAATTAATATAATTTTAAATTAATGGCAATTACAGAAATAAATTAATCAAATGTATTCTAAAATGAAATGAAAAAAACTAATGAAATGCGACTAAGATTTGGAGTTCCGGCGGACACTCGCATTTTTCATGTTCGCTTGCTCCAAAATAGAATGCTTAATTTTAACATAGTCTGCAGCTTCTTGATTTAGACAATGATGCATGTAAGGATCTAACCTAATTTTGTAACATTTCCAGATATGGGAATAGTACTTCATTCTTCAGGAGCTGAAACCGTACAATCAGGCTATTTAGAATATCTGTACACAGCTGAAACTTGATGCCATGTATAACTATCGTAATGATGGTTCTAATCTAACCTAACCATACTAATCATTATTACCAGTTTTAAATCTTATGTTTATTCATTTCTTAAATTGCTAATTACCTATTTTAATTCATCGAGAAAGGATTGATTTCTGATTTGCAAATCTGATCCAATCTGCAGCGACTGGTGCCAGGCACTAAATAAACAATAGCAACACCCCAACACCCAACTGCACCCTAGTGCTTGTGCTTATTAGTTTATTTACAAGTCATTTGTTGCGCCTAACCTCTTTTAAATGAAAGCAACTATTCGGGGAACTTGATGGCTGCTGCATGACTCTCATTTTCTTCCTCATCTTGTTCCGTATGACTTAATTCTAGTCTTTAAGAATGTTGCAGATAGTTATCGCTGGTATCTCCACATGTCTATCGTTAATCATCTGTCAGATCCATCTTAACCATTGTTCCAGCTCGCGCGTTATCGAGTTCATCTGACTTGGTAATTTGCATAATTTTCATCAACCTTAGCATTGCCAATCATGTAGGCGTGGTATTAAAAAAAAGTACTTTTTGTTCAATATTGTTTAGGATAGTAGAGAAGGTTATCACGAATGCTGATTTTGTTGGGCATCTTGTTATGCGCTTTGTTATTACTTTTACGGCTGATGTTTGATTTTACAGCTTGTCTCATTATAGAAAACAGGAGCAAAAGAACAAATAGATTTGTTCGTTAAAAGGTCATAACTGTTCCAACGCAAGGAATTTGTTGATGCATTGTCCTCTTAATGCTCTTTCTTATAGAAGCTGTAATTCGTGGGTTGTTTTTTTTCCCTTTAATTTTGAATGTGCATTTCCTCAGAAAGCTGGAACTCCAATGTACTTTTGTAACGTAATATTTAAGTTGGAAATTGAACTTGTTCAGCAAACTTTCTTAACATATCCGCGTAGCAGTTTTTTTATATGTTAGCAAGATTTTTCATTCTGGCTTGTGACTTCAGGTTATTGTACTTAAAGCCTTGAGCAGCTATAGGAGTCTAATGTCTGATGATTCAACTTTTCATTCTGAAAGATCCTACTTTTCCAGAATTATTTTCTTCTACTCACCTTTTTATTGACTACACTCATTTATAAATATAAACCTCACAATAAAAGCTTTGCGTACTAGCATAAAAATAAGCTTTAGAATTATTCAAGTTCAAGGTTCACATAGTATAAAAAATTCAGCCTGCATACAAATCTTTCCATTAACAAGTTGGGGGAGTGCTTTTGATATCCTACGTAATAAACAGGAAGTATAAGATGTTCACCGGGGAAGAATGTGTCTTGAGAAATGGAAAGTAAGATAAATGGTTGCATTGTTGGGTTACGTCATTTTTTTCCAAATTTTTGTTGCTGAGCTGCTTTAGGAAGTTCTCAAATTTAATTTAACAGCCAAGTACACTTTTCATAAACAGACTAAAAGTACTTGCTGAAAGGTTTAAAGACTTATTCTTTTATATAGAATGAAAGCGTTTTTAGGGTCAAGTATTCCCCCCCCCAAAGGGAGTCTTCACACTGAATTACGTCTTTTATACCGCTTTATGAACAATTTAATAAACATATAACAGGTTATTTTGTGATGCCCCTTTTAGCACCTCGGCTGTGGAGTTTTTCAGAGCCGTATTAAGACTTTGAGGCCATAAGTATTTTGGCGCTCCTACATACATTTTTCCAGGATTTCATCTCCCTCGGTCTTGGTTGAACTGCACCATATGTTCCATGTTTCGGTACCCTCTTTCCTTTAGTCTCTAAGCACTTTTTTTTAGGGGGGGTGTTGTTGTTTTCACTTTGGCTTGTTTGGTTATGGCAAAGCACTCGACGGCTATCTGCCTAAGGGAAGAGGTTTTTTCGTGGAGGACTTTCTCAGGGAAGCTGGCTCCACGTTACACATAGGGAAAGGCACGAAAACCGCCCACCAACGGTCAAGCAGTAAAGTCGCTGAAACGGGCTTGCTGCGTTGTCGTTTTCGTGGGTTTCCTCATATGTAACGTGTATACGAGTCAGTTTCTCTTAGAAAGGTCTCCACGAAGGCAACCCTCCCTTTACACAGATAACCCTAGTGTGGTTTGCCGTAATCTAAATAAACCAACCAATCATATCTGAAAATGTGTACGGAATCATGATGCAGAGACCTTACTTCATCGACATACAGAATCTTCCTTCAAGTAGATAAATAGCTCTTTACGCTAAGTTTCTAAATTAAAATAAGCTTCTAAAATAAATTTCCATCGAATCTGCTCTAAAATTTTAACAACAGAATTTTTTTTCAAAAATAATAAAAAAATATAAATTGTTTCAAATTCTAATGCAAAGTATTTATAGATATAACTTGACGAAATTTTTATCTTCATAGAAACGCTTTAGTCATAGCTTACATACTAAATAAGATCTAGCTGGTTTAACTTGTATACAGATCTAGCTGGTTTAACTTGTAAACGAAATTTTTATCTTTATAGAAACGCTTTAGTCATAGCTTACATACTAAATAAGATCTAGTTGGTTTAACTTGTATACAATTATTGGTGCAAATTTCCAATAGCTTTCGCCGACTAATGTACCTGTTCTGGTAAATTTTCAATTTATAGTCTTGATCATAACCCTGTTTTCTCAATAGCCACATTAATAATTAATAAAGATATGATTTAACCTAATTATCTCAGCAAGAGGTCTAAAGTGCCTACCAACGTATTAGATCCGTTTGAGTAACACCAGAATTTAGACGCTGGAAAATAATTCCACGGTAGTTGGAATAGAAAAATGTAACTGATGATGCGTTAAGCCTGGCTTTAGTATATAAGTAGATAAAAATCGTTGCCTTTCAGAGAACCAGCTTCAAATTTTTTGAACGCGCAAAACTAAAAACTGTTTTCGTCATTCTGAAGGAAGCAGGGAAGACAGAGGCAACGGAACAGAAGTTCTGTGATATTATTGCGAGCTAGGTTTTCGTTGAATGATCGGTACCATTCTTTAAATGAATACTCCAGATAACTGGGAAGAAATTGACGCTTAATCACCGAGAAAGATAACTTAAAACTCCATAAACAGGAAAAACCTTAGGATTTGGAAGCAAAGATGCCGTTGCTGCTATCGCTATCTTTACACAGTTGGGGGACCATTCGAGAAATTTAGGTCATCATTGTGTAGAAAACTGAACTAACTCTATAGCTATCCAACCTACTGTAGGTTCAGGAAACGTCTTCCACGAAGTCGCCAAGTATGACGAAAAGGAGCGTTAACTATATCTCGAGTTCCGTTTGAACTATTTTTACAATTTAAATTTCGTCGTAGTACTCAAAATTGAAAAGTCTACAATTCTGTAGAAGAAATAAACACTTAAATACAAAACACGTGATCACAAGTTCGATTAAACACAAAATAAACTTTATTATTCTGAAAACAAGAAATAAGTATGTAGAGTTATTAGTGTTTTTTTTTTTTTTTTTTTTTTTTTTTAAAGCATGAGACATGAAAAATGTGCAGTACCCTCGCCGGGAGGACTTCTTGAATATGCGTCGAGTATGTTTCCAATTACACCACGAAGGCATGCAGTTAGGAGGGAGAAAATACCTTATATACTCCCCCTCTTAAAGGGCGACTAGGGATTTGGGGACACAGTCCTCAAATCCTGGTGATGACGGATTATGGTCCACCACCATTTTAATTCATGCGCCACTGCTGAGTCATTAGGAGGTTTTGAAGCAGCAGACGTGAAAAATAAACAATGCGCTTGCCGGGACTCGAACCCTGGACCTCTCGAATACTAGTCGAGTGTGCTACCGTTACATCATGAAGGCATGCTGGAAGGAGGAAGAAAATTCTTTATACGTAAATAAAAAAAAAATTAAAACATTTACAGATATTTATAATAATATGTTTCAGTTAGATGAGCAAGAGTAAAGATAAGAAAAAAAATGAAAGGCAGCTAACTAAAAGAGCAGAACATGTGTGCTTAATATATTTTACAAAAACCTTTGGTCTTAATGTTGCCCTGCATTAGCAGTCATTTAAAATTCATCTCAAAGAGGCGTTCTATAAGATATTTGCTCTCTATCAAACTGAACTGATAAACAGCGGCCATGAGACTGATTGTGCGTAATTGAAACAAGTGACATCTTAAATCAGAAGTTATAAAATGCCAACTTCTAAAAGTCCTCGATTCTATCAGAAAATTGCTTTCTGTTCTTGATCATTCAAAAATACTGTAAAATATTTTTATATCTAAAACACTTTATTTTTAATTTAA